TTTTATGATCACTCGAGCAGAGTTAAGCAAGGGTTAAAAGCTGAAAAATTCCTGACATAGGTGAGGCAATACAAAACTAGTAGGTGAAGTATTTTTATTTTAATTGAGGAGTTGATTCTTGATAGGGTTTTTACCCTACCTTTATAGAAATGCAAGCTGCAATGTTATAAGTTCTCATGAGAAAATAAAATACAGCATGCCAATTATTCATAAATAATGCTCCCTAATGAGGAATAGCAGTTATTCAGATGTAAATATTCACAATCCTTGTTCACAGTTTAAGAAAGTGGTAATAATGTGTGGCCTACAAATCTCAAAATCTCCTTTGTGCTAAAGAAAATGTAATAGGCAACCCCATCTTTTGGAAAAGTTTGCTCACCGTAGCTTTCTTGGGGATTTAATAAAAATGTGGGAAGCCAAGCAGGCAAAAAGCCAAAGTGTGGACTAATTAGAAGGAGAGGCGTGAATTTATATGCAGTGGTACCTTGGTACTCAACTGCTTTGAAACTCATCACTTTGACAAGAAAATTTTGTCCTGGTACTTGTTGTTTGTTTGGTACTCAATGAGCAAGCTAGAACTTGTCAGTTTCAGTTATCTTGTGACTCGTTACCCTTTCCAGTCATAATAAAGTATGACACTCTTGCCCTCTGTACATCCCTTGAAATCTTACCTTAACTTCTGTGGTTATTTTGTTCGTTTTTGCACTTTTTTTCTCTCATCAGTACAGATAAAATGAAATTTTTACTTAATTTAATCTAAGTATTTTATTAATTTTAGGTTTATTTCTAATGTAAAATAATGATACACAAACCTATCTTTTAACATAAAATGTGCATTGTTTCTGGTTTGTGAATTAAATTTATTTACTGTACATTATTCCTTATGGAAAAATTTTGTTTGGTACTCATCATCTTTTGTAATCATTACACCTCCTGGAACCAATTAATGATGAGTACAGAGGGACCACTGTATATCTTTTGGGCTCCTCATATTTAAATAAAGGATAGTACAACTCAATATACGTATGAAAATGCACTAAAATGGTCTTCTTTGAATTAATTTCTGGAGGAAATTCCCTTTCATCCAACCCAATAAAAACAGAGCAAGAAAATTTCTCTGACTGGCATGAATTTACCTACAAAGCCATAATTTGATTTTTACAAGCTGGAATAATATGAGTAAAAAGACTTATTCTTCTCTGCCTTGCAACTTTGCAGATGTCTCTTAAATCAATTTAATCTTCTATAGCTTGGTACCTCCAGATCTGTTGAATGCTAATTCATAGTTCCCACTTAACATGGCCAACAATCATACCACTCCAGAATTCTGAAAATTTGACAAATTGTTTGCTTGAATATGGATTACAAATGTTTAATCTGAAATATAAATGGAGCAAATGTTCCTCAAAAAGAAAAAAAATCATCATTAAGAAAAATTGAGACATGATGTAATTTGTTTGCAAGAAGCACCAATAAGAAAAAGGGAAGTGAAGTATTTGACTTTGGAGATTAAATCTATGTTAGATTTAGTGTTTATATGGCAGAATAGCCAAAGCACACATTCTAGTACAGGGAAGTTCTCTGAGGATGTGCTCCATCACAAATCCAAAAGCTTGGAAGACTAAATCTCTGGTCCAGTTAACCGACCCAGATTTTATCCTGCAACATTATCCTGGGATATGTACATTTGCCTTCATTAGTGACTAAATCTATAATTTGGTCATCATCATCATGTTTCAAATGATAATAAAGGGGAGTTTTTGTAATTGCCTTATCAACCAATTAACATTTTATGAGATTGATATTTGATGAAGATTGGGATAGGCTAGTCTTCCTGCAACTTGGTAGAATTTTAGAGAAGAAAATTAAATTCAACCAAGGCAAATTATCAAAGACTTTTTTAAATTATTTGATGGCTAATCTGGCTTTGGTAGATATTTGGAGACAGAGGAATGGTACCTCCAAAGAATATACTTATTGCTTTTTTATCTTTAAATGTAGTATACANCTTAAGTTGCTATAGCAACTGAAGTTTGGAAAGTGATCTGAAAGTCAGGATGCCTTCATAAACAGAGCTGGTCTCGCCATCATGGGCAGTTAATTGTGTTTTATTGTTCCAAATAGCTAAGCTAATATTATTTATTATTCCCATAACAATTTGGTTTCATAAGACAAGGCCTATTCTTTTTTTAATAATAATAAAGTCAACACTGTGTATATAAACACAGGAAATTGAGCTTGTGTTCTGCTTATGATTGGTCCATTAAAACATGTTTAAATAAGATAATTGATTAAAAATAAGAAGAGGCAAAATAAGAACATATTTCTTGCAGATTAAGACTCAACCTGATTAGTAATGGATATGGACCAATTAATTCTACATTATTGTTGGTCTGTACTCTATAACCTCATTTAGTAGAGTGAGTGGGATAAAACGTCCAGTTCCTGTTTCCTGCATCCCTAATTTTGTGTCTGTTACCAATTTGATGTTCCTAAAATAGTTCTCTATTTTATGATGACAAATTTAAAATCAGACTAACATGTATAGATTATTTCGAAATTCCTTCAGAATAAAATTTTATTCAGTACCAATAAAGTATTACAGAGTTTGGGTTTTCTTCTCCCTCATCACCACTTCCCATCTAATGATAGGGAGTGTGACATTTAACCCTGCAAAGGAAAGAAGAATTAAACATTCTGTGGGTGCCCTAAAATTTGATTGACTAATTATGTACATTAAATTAGTGTCAACTTTTAGTGAACTTTTCTTTCTCCACGACAGCCTGTCCCCAATCTGTCCTTCAGGTCTTCCAACAGTGCACCCATCACTGCTGTAATTGAGGCCATTCACTTTGCTGCTTGTCATTCTCTTCTCTTTCCTTTTACCTTTCCAAGCTTTGCCCTGAAAGATAGGTGATGCTAAAAGTGTTGCATAAATGATACTTTGTTGGGTGGGGCCTTCTACCTTCTAGACAGAAGTGGCCAACTTTGTGTTATATTACCAATCACATAGTGATGTACCAGAAGATTCAAATTTACCTTTTGCCTATCCCTGTCCTAGCTACTTACTTACTGTATCTACAAAGAAAATATTAGCAGATATGGCTGACTTTGTCACATACAGCTAACAATCTATTTAACAATGTTCTTTATTTTTTTCATAAGGAATACCACTGTATGAACTAGCATTATTGGTCACAATCTACTAGACATTCTCCCATGTCTAGCTCCTATAATTGTAATATAATTGGGTTTTTATGTCAATACATTCTCCTTCACAATTAAAATAATAAGACAGTGCTATTCTATAAAATGTAGAGATTGGGAAATAAATATTAGTGTTGAAAGTTGCTTTCCCTGTCAGTACTTTCCCTGACCACACTTCTTACCTCTAGCTTCTACTTTGTAGTACATATAGAGGAGGATATTGCATTAAATCCACCTAAATATATAAATATTATGCTTACAGCATTAAAAGCAGATAGGGTCACCTCTGGCAAGATGGGCAGCACAAAAGTTTAATAAATAAATTAAATCATAACAACAATTACTTCAGGGTGACATTAGAACATGTGTTGATCGACAGGAGTTTAGCA